GCTCGAATGGCCTCGGCCTTGTTGGTGGTCATCAGCTGAATCAGTTGACCTTGGATCAACTTCTCTTCATTCACAGCATGGGCTTCCTCCCAGAAAGCAGGAGGTTCTGGGGCAGCCAGGGCGGCGGCCAAAACAGCAGCCATCGTTGGTTGATAGTCCTCCATGAAAGAGGTACGAGACCTGCCGGAACCAGGCATCTTGCCTTCGAGTCTGCAGTGTTCATGGGATCCATCGCATCGAAGTTGCAGTGCTTGGGCAACAGCTCGTTTCGTGGTCTGCAAGGAAGTGGTCTTGCGAGTCAATCGCCAAACCCCATCAACATCTAAGCAGCAGGCTCCATACTGACACATATCAAACGTTGTGCGAAACCCAGGCAAGGACTTCAGATTCTTTGTGTGCCAACTGAGTGCAGTGTGGGGCTGCTCCAGGTGCGCATGACGGCCACCACGAACTTGCCGAAGATAAATCTTCCTGCAAAAATCCAAATGGATGTCGTGGTGAAGCTGTCGTTGTTCTTGCAGAAGGGCTTGTCGCTCAGAGGTGGTTGCACTGATGGCCTGCATGCGAGACCAGAGAGCACAACGAGGAGCCAAAAGTATCTCATCGGGCATGTCCTCGTCAAGCTTGTGGAGGAGTGCAGCTCGATCGGAAGCACGATCGAAATCCCAACCTGTTTCATACCCAAATGTGCAAACTTCACAACCGAGGGCTGATGCAACTTCGCTGACTCTGGAGGTGCCAGCATAAACTTCCCAGATCAAACGTGGTCGTGGTTGAACATCATGGAGCTCCTGAGTGACCATGCGATTGATCTGGTTCTCAGCAGTTGCAAGGGCATTCTCAAAAGTTTTCCAATGCTTCAGGATGATCTTCCGGTCACCCTCGGCCCAGTCAGCATCAGTGGTCGTGTAGATGCCCTCAGACTTCTGGTAGGTCAAAAAGTCCAGGACCTGTGGTGGGTCGCCAGGAGTCTGAGTTTCCATCAAGGTAAGGTCAAAGGCAGGCATCTGGCCGATGAGCTCGAAGTCAAAGTCCTCGGTGAGGGACATGAGGTACTCACCATGCAAACCCATAGTGATAGGTCGCCAAGGGTGTCCTTCAAACATCATTGATCGCCGCTTGAAGTTGACGACGATGCCGAGCTCTTCAATGATGGGGCGGCCCATCAGCATCGGAGTTTCTCCCTTGATGATGAACGCCTGTGCAAATCCAAAGGCGCAGTTGATGAACATCGGAATCTTGGCAACCCAATGGCTTGTTGTGGAATGATCGCCACCGAAATGGAAGGTGCGATTGGTTCTCTGCATCTCGATGGAGTCCACTGGGTATTCAAGTTCACGCAAGTGATCCACATAGCGGTGGAATGGCCCGCTTCCCATCAAGAAAGCGCTCGCACCAGGATCAAGCATCGTACAGTCAACTCTGGGCTGTCCGTTGGTGTCCTCGAAGATGACATGGCCACATTCAGTTGGAAGTTGAGAGACTGCTATGCCTTCAGTGGTGTTCTGCTTCTTTGGACCGGGGGCCTGTGACGGTGGCCCCGAATGCTTCTGCGGCTTGGGACACTGTGCAGCTTGGTGACCATAAGCTCCACAACGTAGGCATTGCAGCACAGCTGAGGCACGGCCGCGGGGATCCACGGCCTTTTGAGGAGGCCTGGCATACTTCACAACGTTGGAGGCCTTGCCACGGCCTTTTGGCTTCCCCTTGGATTTTCCCCCGCCAGTGCCTTTCCCTTTTCCAACAGGTAGCTGAGATGAAGAGGCAACTGGTAGAGCACCTTGATCAGCAACGGCCACAACGGGGTAGAACCCCCTTGAGAGTTTCAAATCTTGGAAGCGACGACGAGCATCCAAGTATGCCGCAAATGCCTCATCGTACTGCTCAGTGTCAAAGGCTTCATCAGCCGCAGCATGTCCATGTTCAGAATCTTCATAGTAGGCAGCTTGGGCATCAAACGAATCGTCAAACCAACCATCATCGTTGGCCGCATATTCAGAAACGTCGTCATACTCAAAATACCCCTCTTCGTCAGGCTCATAGAGCTCGTCAGGAAGCTCGTCATCATCCAAGGCAGCGTAGGCACCACGACGAAAAAGTCGGCCGGAGCCCGCTCGTCGATGGTGGTCGTGAGAGACAGCAGACTTGTGGTCCTGCCCCAAAATCAGGTACAGGGATTCCTGTACCTTCAACTTCTCCAACTTTGGTGCCTGAGTGATGATCATCTGACGCTGCTCCTTGGTGATGTTCGCCTTCTTCAGCAAAAGCCATCCTTGGATCTCTGAAGGGATCTGGATGCCGTGCTCTTCAATCTTGCGAAGCTTCTCATCATGGTCAGTCACAAAGTTGAGCAAGGTTTCACCTGGTCGGCGGCTCAGGTGAGTGAAGTAGGCATCAAAATCCTGAGGCAATCTAACACGGGCATCGTAATGAAATGCCTTGTCAAGCACTTTCAACAGAGACTCGAAAGTGCCATCTTCATCGATCTTTGTGAGGTCAAAATTCTCAACCAAACGCCATGCAGTACCCTGAAGAGATCCAATGATGTTCAAAATGCTTTCAGCCTTTCGTTTCTGAAGACCCATTTTCAAATGGTAAATATTGATCCGTTTCCTCCACTCCTGATACGAACTTGGCTGGCCATCAAACAGTGGAATAAACGAATCCTTGGTAATGCCACTATCAAACTGACTGGACTGTGCCGTGGACATTGTGCCTGCAGTTCCTTGTCGTGCTTGCTTGGCAGCACGTGGAGTTCCAGGCTTGGCCTGCGGTGGCATCCACTGGCTCAGAGATCGCTGTACCTTTGGTCTCAGAGGTCAAGCCAAAGCAACAGTCCAGGAAGTTGATGTGTAGTAGATGGAGTCAGGAAGGTGAAGGTAGAAGGAGATGGTGATGTCAAAGTAAATGGAGTTGCGCAGCAGTTGTTGAAGCCCAAACCCAAAGGCTCAGGCTCCGCCTACCAATATCAATTGGAGGCAAAACCAATTGGGGCAAGACACACGAAGTTCTCTGCCACAAAGTAGCGGAAGCGCTCGAAGTTTTCCGCGCCGCAATCGGATCTGGCCAAAGTTCCCTCCCACTTAAGCCGTCAAGGCAAGGAGAGGTGAAATGTGAAATGCTGAATCAGAATGAATCAATGAGGCAGTCTTCTCTGTTTAAAGAGCTGCTGCAAGAATCTGCAAAAGGACATGTTCCATGGGTTGCATGGCATGCAATCAACATATACAATTATTTTACTATATACATACATTTCATATTTCAATTTAGAGCCCTCCGTTCGCTATTAAGAGTTTTCCGACCACACGATAGGGAATTACATGGAATTACCAATCTTCTGGTGTTTGAAAATCCTTAGTACATATACCGACGCTCCCAAATGGCAATTTGTGGGGGCTTCCATAAAAAAGGTCGGAAGTTTTGGGGAAAAAATGATGAGAGTCCCCTTTTTTTTTTCAGTGTTTTCCCATGTTTTCGACCACCGGCGGAAGATAAAAAAGGATGCAGCCTCTCGTCGCTTCTCGAAACAACAGATGAGGGAAGCCCGCCGTGAGGCCCGGGAGCGGTGGTGTTTTCTGTGCAGTTTCTGTCAGCCAACCATGACAACTTACTACAACTTACCACAACTTGTTGTCTTAAAAACATGTTGATTCACACTGATTTGGAACTCAGGATGCAAGTTGGGTTGGTCCGAAAAATGCGTGCATCTAGTTTTCATAGGGCAACATGGGAAGACATTCGAAGAATTCACATGGATTGAAACAGAAGAGCCACTGAGATCGTATAGCTTCATTTTTTTTTTCGAATCTTGCAACAGACTTTCACAGTCCAAGTCATTTTGCCAGGCAGACATCCTCCGTCGAATCGATGTTTTGCTTTCCAGGTGGCAGTCTTGGCCTCGGCAAAATTTGCAAATCGCACGCAGTCTTTGAGAGTTTCTGCGATTTGCAAAGCCATGGCAATATGTATATATATATATGTATATATATATATATATACGCATTATATTATATACACTATACTATATATAATATTATATTGTGTATATATATACATATATTATTATTGTTATTATTATTATTATTATAATATATATATATATGTGCAGGACGGGTAAACTGTCAGGTGTTTGATCTCCAATAGGAAAGAGATTGGCGATTCTTCTTGCGTTGAGAACCCTGCACCCTTTTGTCTTTTTTGTCTCAGGCCGCAGTCGCTTTGACTGCCGTGAGCTCATAAAAAAAATCAACTTCATCATCGATGCTCTTTCAGAGCCTTCGGGCTTTGAGCAGCATGTCTGCTATGTCTCTATGTCTGAGACATGTGACATGTGGAATCAGATTTATCCACAGTCTCTCGGGAGCACGTCCTGCGGATGCCTCGGCTGCGTCGCTGCCCTGGCGGCTGAACAGCCTTGAACAGCCTTGAGCTGCAGAGCGCAACGCCGTGAAAAGTGACAACTTGGGTGCTGCCAAACAGTGAGGTTGATAGATGCCAACAGACATCAACAGACCTTTAACAGATGCAATGCCAAAAGATGTTTTGCAGATGCTAATAGATGTCAACAAATATTAATAGCACTTTGTCTTGCCATCTGCAATCTTTGAGTAGCATCCTTTTCTGCAGTTGCAGGCTGCTTTTCATGCATGAAACCGCAGCAATTGAGTGATTTAGTATGGCCATATCCGCAGCAATTGTAGTGTTATCACTGAATCATACTCAATCATTCATGGAGAGACATCCGTTACCAGCATGTTTTTCACGGTGATTCCAGAGATTTCCAGTGCCAGCCGTGCTGACTTCTCCATGTCGTTGATATCGCTGTGAGAAAAGCACCATGGGCTGAAGCCGATTCTTTGGGCCGCGGAGCGGCCCGGGGCCCGGTTGATCCATGGTTTCTCCAGCAGAATTTCCCAAGTTATGGCTGCAAAGATTCTAGGAGGAACCTGAGGAACTGATTCCATGAAATCTATTGGTGGCCTATTTTGACGGCCAAGGCCATGGTTGGAGATTTCGCCCATGAGGTGCATGGTCCAATCAGCTTGGCATGGCATTCTGCTGTGACCTTTCTGCCCAGCATGTTGCATTTTCCAATAACAGTTAAAACGCTACAAGACATTCTGATTACATTCTGATCAAAAATCCTGCGCATTATCCGCACATTTCGCTTCCATGTCTTGCCCGTGGCGGCCCTTCGCGCGGTGAGGCGTGCTGCTGTGTGCCTGACGGGCCACTTACGCACCGCCATCTTGGATCCCGTCCACCTTTTCATCGAACCCCTCCAGCACTCCGTGCTCCGTGGCGTGGCGTTAAAAGACTCTGAAGACTCTGAACCTAGAGCAGCGATATTACATCATTATGTATATATAATTGTATATATATAGATAATATGTATTATATAATTTTTATGTGTATATATATATGTAATATTCAGCGTAATATTATCTATATAATATTAAGTATTATACGTATATACATCATATATATATAGACAAAGATTGCATATATATATATACATACACGTAATATTGTATATATATATATATTATATATACACACACACATATATATATATATGATATTCATAATTTGTACACTTCGTATGTGTGTAACTGCAAATGTGCATCTATATTCTGTGTACAATAGATATGCACAGAATTGTCTTCAAACGTTCCAGATGCAATTTGGACACCTCTGAGGTGCTTTCAGCAACTCCGGATATGAGGTGGATGTGTTTGCGGTCACTGATGCTGGAGAGGACTGGCCAGTTGACCAACCAGCGGATGAAAGTTACTTGGGCCCCCATATCTGCTTTTGTGCTTAATGGGTATTGCAATCCGTTCAATCTCAGTCTCACCCAACCAGTCGAACCTAATCTACATATCATTTATATATCTAAATCATGTGAGTGAACTCGCAACATTTTGGGGCGATATCCTCGTTTTGCAGCTCAAATGATCTTGAACCCACACACATCCCTATTTGGGCTGATCATTGGGATCATTTTCTGAATGGATTAGGAAACTGTTGAGCTTAATTTCCATGTCAGGACTGCGAAAGAACCCGGGTGGTTCTTGAGCCACTGAATCTGAAGGCATTGCAATGCATCGCTGCAGTCGAAGAAGATCCTGTACAGAGGCAAGTGGCTCCAACTTCACCTGCTATAGTCCTATATCAGAATGGCAAAAGTCATTGGAAAATGGGTAGGAAACTTCGTTTTTTTACCGAAGGTGGAGTTTCCTGTGAATTTGCCCTTCATCCAGTTGCGGCAGAAAAAATAATTTGTTGCCAGCAGCCACCGTTGGGCACTAGTCCAGTAGTTGGGAATTCCGTGACCTCTGATCATCGGTTTGGGATGGTCCACACACACAGAGTCAGGTGATGGTGATCAATATTGGGTACCGAAAAATCCCGTTGATAAGGTTGATAGATATTTTGTCACAAGTTTTTCTGCGTGCAGAAAATGGGACTTTGAGTGGGATCCTTATTCCGAGACAAAGCCATTTCCGAAAAATCGTGGCAACCGACCAATGTTGCAAATGTGTCAGGCAACACGAAGAGCAGTGGTTGCAACATGGCGCCAAGACCATTTGGAATCGAGCTGCTTTTCTGGGACAATTGAAGAAGGCCGGTGTGACTTCTGCTCCATTGATCTGCGCGTCGGGTCTTTAGCTGGAAACCAGCTGAGTCTGAAAGCAGGGGCAGAAACACAATCTATGACCTATGATTTCTGTGAGAAGGTAGCAATGATCAGAGATTTCTATAGATTTCTATGGATAAATAATGATAAATATATAATATTAATCATTACCAATAACTTGCTCAAAGATTATTGGTCTCTCCAATAACCCAGCCAATCTTTGGTGTTCCTTGGTGATTTTTCAGATCCCTCCTGCGAGGTCCAAGCATGCGATCTGTTGATGAGCGCAACGGGCGAACGCTATGACTTGGTGGCCCGGTCACGCCTTGACGTACGTGACCTGGACCGAAAAGCGAGCGATCCCAGAATCTCATGGTTGATATTGGTTGATCATCATTTTTCCATATTTTTCCCATGAAAATCAGACTGTAAATGATTTAGGATGATTTAGGTATGGCAAAAGTTGGGGTATTCATCATTTTTGGAGCCACTTTGGGTGTAAAATGTTCATAGGATGAGATCGAGATCGTCGGAGTTTCTCCCAGAAAACTCACCAGAGACACAGCAACAGAATCTGCCAAGGCTGGCATCAATTTCCTGCAGATGTGAGCAAATTAGAAGTGCCTGGTGGGAGCCTTATCCACTTACCCTCTGGTAAACTAACATAACTATGGAAAGATCCACCATTTTTAATGGGAAAATCCACTATTTCTATGGTCATTTTCAATAGCTATGTTAAATTACCAGAGGGTATCCATCACAGAGGCATATCTCATAGAATTGGATGATGGGAAAATTTTAACCGGAAACCCCTATATTTGATGGTAAAAACCATGGTTTCCGGTTAAGATTTTCCCTTAAACCAATCCATTGAATATCCGACTGGTAGTCATGCCAAGTTCCTGTTTGGTTGAGAGATTGCGCCGTTCCCAGGAATCATTTGGTTGGCACTTCGATCAACGGAATATGCGAACTCGTACATGAGTGATCTTTTTGCCATTGGCGGGCATTTGGAAATGCTTCCCGTCTCATTACCGTGTAGCTTTTTCATCATTTTTCATCATTTTTCATCATTTTTCATCATTTTTACATGTCATGTGCCTGGATTCTCTTGTGTCATCTTGTGTCATCTTGTGTCGAATTTGAATTCTGAAGTGCCAGTCCAGTGTGGACTGGAAACCAAGGAAACCATACATGCACGTCTACGATGAATTGCTTGACAGAGGCCTATCGGGCCAAATCGCCGGGTGCCTATCCGATAGGCTGCCTATCCAAGTCATGGGGTGTCACGGTGTTCCTTCGATGCTCCTGGAGGCAACTGGGAACTTCACAAATCCTTCGAAGACTCACCAGATGGTTTGGACACTGAAGAACTGTGGCAGGCACGCAGATCAGCACGCAGATCAGCACGCAGATCAGCACGCAGATCAGCACGCAGATTATAATTTGTTGCATATAGGCTACCTGAAGCAACTTGATGGAAATGGAAGCCTTGACTCCCATTCCTGTGTATGATCCTGTATGATGTTCCGATTGAACATAAGAAATTCCAATTCGTTTGGGTTGTCACAGAGTGGCCATACCCAATGACAGTCACTCACAAACTTATGAAGTGCAGGTGACTTTGTTGAAGGCTGGTGTCCTGGCAAGGCAACACCCAGACATTTGCTTCAATTTGCTACTCGGCCCATCGGTGTCTTGGGTGATTGTTTGTTTTAACTGCTTGGAAAATCGGACAGTTATCCAATATTATCCATTTAAGTCACATATTTGTGACATATAAATCATATAAATTCCACTTGGAACATTTAAATCATTTCAAGCCGGCAGCTTATGGCATCGTGTTTCTTTTTTTTTTCGGACGGCAGAGACAGTGCTGATTCGCTGAGGTTATCTCGCAAGGCGTCCGATCCTTCTTCTGAGCGCGAAGACAACTGCCGTCGGAATCCACCGAGACATCCCAACGGTTTTTGGACGGATACCGAATGGCGACTTGGTCGACTTGGTCGACTTGTTCTGATGGCGAATTCTTAAGGCTTACCCTCTGGTTATGTCAAAATAGCTATTGAAAATGGCCATAGAAATAGTGGATTTACCCATTAAAAATGGTGGATCTTTCCATAGTTATGTTAGTTTACCAGAGGGTAAGGTGTCAGATGGTGTCAGATGGTGTCAGAATTGTCAGAGCAGAGAGTCAGAGATGTTGAGAGATCTTGACCTATCTTGGTGGTCCACGTTCGGATGACTTGTCAGACATTTTTTTTGAGTTGGCAAATGTTGGCAAAAGTCGATGCCAGTAAGATGTACAAATTCTTGAAGTTCCTTGCGCCAAACAAAGCAACAGGAGGCAATACAAATAGCAAGATAAAAGATGATATACATATGTAGATGATTGTAGATGTATATAAATTATATATATAATATACATTATATATAATATATTATAATGCATAAATATATATCAATTTAAGATAAACCTGTCAGTTCCAATCGTTCCAGTCGTGCCATGTTCCCCATGTTCCAACTCTGGACCCCTGAGGTCAGGTGCGCCTGTGGACACAATGTCTGGCATCTTTTCCTACGACGCTCTGCTCACGATGAGGTCCCCCGAAATGTTGGGAATGGTAATGGGGTAATGGTCAAGTCAAGCAAGTCAAGCTAGCAACTACTGGTAATCTGTATACTAATCATATACTAATCATTAATACCAATCATATAGCAATCATACTGTGATTATACATTTATATACTGCATACGAATCATGCTCGTACTATCTCGTACAAAAAACATGGGAAGTTTCGGGTTGCCCCCAGTGCCACTGTGGATTCATAGTGAATCCGTTCAACTGGTTGAATTGGTGTTGGGAGCGTTGGGTGTGCCCGGATAATGCTCCGTGAATGCCAGTGGTTTCGAGAATTTTCAATCTTTTCACCAAACTTCCTTTTACGAAAGGCACTTTGGGCGTGGATGTTTTCTAGAACCACCTGAAAATACCTGAAAATGAAAGGGCATTTCCAAAAAGGTCAAGTAAATGCTAGTAGACTTTTCAGGGCGCCCCGGGCTGAGAGCTTTCTCTTTCGCTGGATCACTGGAGCCAGGTTGTTGCACTTCTTTTATGCGGAATGGGCTCGAGTCGGCAGACCGGCCAAAGTGACACTTTTCTGCAACGAGATCACAACTGTTTCATCGTGCGAGATCAAGCACGAGATCACATCCATTGCGTGGTTCCAGTGCGTTCCAAAAACGATCATTGTTGGTTTCATGATGTTAAACCGTGTTTCATGTGTGACAGTTTTTGGACTTTTTGGCAGCTTCTAATGATAATTTAGCAGCCTCAGGCTGGATTTGGGATGTGGCCGTGGCAGCATGATCGAACGGTGGCTAGGCTTCCATCCCCCTAGCTTCGCCTGCATCGACAAATTGCCAGGAAACTGGGCTGCAGATCTTTGAATATTTTGAATCCAAGTTCCTCAGTCAGAAAGATGTAAAAAACGGGATATTTCGGGTTTGAACATGGGGTGATAACCTAACGGTTAACCAAATTGTGGTGATTTCCAGCATTTTGATGCACTTTTGGGTCCCCGGGGAATTCTCATGGGTTTTTCTGAACTGAGGGCTTCGGCAGCTTTTGGGGCACGACTTGATCGATTGGGATCTATCTCAAAAAGCTGACCTCAGGAGTGAAAAAAGAGCCCAGATGCGAACCATGGTGCTGGAATGTTTACCTTAAAAAAACTGGGTCATAAATATGGGGTTTTTATGTAGGTGAATATACAAAAGCACCATGGTTCCCATTTGGGTACCAAACAAAAACTCCAGCTGCTGCAGCTTGGTTTTTTCATCCCTTCGCAGGCGGTTCTTAAAGGATCACTTGGTACAGGTCTTGCAGTGCCTATAGCAGGCTGCCCCATTTAGATCTCAGATCTCATCTCAATTAGTTTGGAGTTAGGATGGGAAGACTTTGGTCCAGGTTGATTTGTTTATGTCAAGTTGACTCAGTTGCCGATAGTGTTGTGCTGTGGTTCCAAGAATGGCGGTTGATGTTTTGGAGGCAAGCCAATATTCAAATTCGGTAGCACGCAATATTTGCTGTATTACTATGCTTTCAGAGTGTGGTAGCGTGAGCTTTTATCTCTATCCAAGGAGCATGAACTAACTCGAAGGTTGTCGGCCCAGCCCTGCATTTGTAAGATTGTTTCACCAATGACATCGACATTTAGCAGCTGCCTTCATGGAACCAACCAATGTTTTCACCCGTCCAATTTTTGGTTCCGAGGGTTTCCCATTTTTGCAGGAGAATCTTGTCCAGCCGTCAATGCGATTTGATTGGAGGGATCGAGTCTATAGATCGATATCTTAGCAGAGCTGCAGATCAGGGAATGTCCCGGGCAATGGCTTTCAAGATTCTTGGCATTTCTTGGCTTTTCACCAACAGAAACAGGTGATGTTGGGTTGCAGACATGAAGATTTGACATGGGGGTTTTCTTGGGTTAAAAGCATGGCCCGACCTTTTGAAACCGCTTCCAGCACAGGAATCTTCTGAACTGTTGCTTCGCAGCCAAGTGCGTGGGCTTTAGCTCGCGACACATGGCAGCAATGGCCCGTGGATCAAGTTGCCAGGTCCCAATCATCCATATTTATAAATAAATTTCCATGACAACCTCCATTTAGTTCGGGGATTTTGGGAATTTTCCAGATAGCCAGCCACGTTTGATGAAGGAAAAACCAGTTGGGGTATCCCTTAGTGAAAGCATGACCAGTACCAGTTTCAGTACCCCAGTGGTGCCAGGTCCAGAATCTGAAGATGAAGAAGTCTTGTTAGTCTTCGATCCAGAGCCAGACACTGAGAGACATTTTTGTTTCAGATGCCTGGCAGATTTGTCGCAGATCTTGGCCGCCTTGTTTTAAGGGTACCTTTTGATAGCATTCCCATACCAATCATACCATCAATCATAGAAATGATATCGTTAAACGTTCTCTTGACACTTTGTATCACTTTGTACTTTGTAATGTCAACCCTGGATTAATAAACCCCTAAGCTGTTTAATTGGGAGGGTACCATAAAAAAGTATCAGATTGTGATTATTGGAGGAGTACCCCCCTAAATAATAGCCCATGGTTTATTAATCCGGGGTTGACATTATCTTGAAACAGTGCTTTTTTCACCTAAGCCAAAAGTTGATATAGTTGATCCCGCCAAAGATCCAGTAACAGAGCTGAGGGGTTTGGACAGCAGCCGCACGCTTTGGATGTCGCGCCGGAACGTCTCTGAAGTGAACAAGCTCTCCTGGGCCACGCCTGCCGATTGGGCCACTGGGAGCATCACCTGTGAGATTTCATGGTGAGCCCTTGCCCAGGTGATGTAAAGGAAGTACGTCGGAAGCTATTAAACATACATATATATATACATGTTTGTACAACACAATGGTCCAAAACCCATTAACATCCACTAATCATGAATATGACCATTGTAAACATGATGTTCCTGAAGGAAGCGTCACAAACGTTTCTCTGAGGCGTTGCTCCTGGATGTGGCACAAGACGTGCCGCAACTGGAAAGCTTGGTGGTAAACGTCAATCACCTCGCAACGGAAGGCTCCCGGGCATTGCAGACAGGTAAACTTGGAGAAGGGTTTTTACATACTACCCTCTGATAAATTAACATAGACCCTGAAAATGACCTAGTTTTAATGGAAACTAGTCTTCCAACCCCGACAACTGCCAGGGTCTATGTTAATTTACCAGAGGGTATAAATTGGCAAATTGTGATGTCTTCTGGCAGATTGAAGCAGATTGCATCAAATACTGTAAACCACTGTATGTTTTGTCGCGGTGTGGCCAACATGCATCAAAATACCTGGTAAATTACAGTGTCTTGCTCATTTAGGCTCTGGACGTCAAAAAAAGTGCGGATATCTGCTGCCAAGAGCATGACACATAGCATTAAAAACCTTGTTTTGGTGCTCTCAGTTGTTTTTTTTCGATCTTGGACGCCACAAGTAGATACAAGTAGTAATAGGACTGTCTTTTGCAATGTCAGGGTTCTTGATCAGTTTGCAAGGTCGTTTTGGAATTTCTAAAAGGCAGCACATGCCGGAAATTGCGATGGTTTTTTAAGGGCAGATCGGCAGATTGCTCGAAACTCATGTTGATTTCCTCCTTCGAAAGTGCTGCCCCGCGGCAGGTACCAGTGGTATTCTGGTTTTTGATCCCCACATTTGAGATCAAAAATGCGTCGCTTTGGAATCTTTCGTCGCAGATTGTTGCGCCAGGTGTGATCGTAACATCTCCACCACGCGTGCTGGCAAGATTGCAGCGGCTCTTGTACAAGTCTTCCTTTGTTCGTGACAGGTGTGGCGGCCGCGGCCGACAGATGCCGACAGAACATGGCTAGGTTCCATGGATCAAACATGGATTCTGGATCAAACCATTGTTCAATTCCTTGGTGTGACAACATGTGGGGGTCGGCACTTCAGCATGGCTACTCGTATTTGGTGGGTTTGACTTTACTCAAAATCCGGATTGTGTTTACTACGGATTGTGTTTACTATACCATATATATATACACATTATATTGTATTCAATCATGTTTTTGTGCGCAAACATATTCAATCATGTATTCAAACAGACTTTTCCATTCAACATACCAGTGTAGTTCAACAATTTAACATGTCCAACATCTATTGCAATTCTGAATATATTGCTAGTATGTTATTAGTATATACTATTATACTATTAGTATATTCTATTATTGGTATATTAAATATATTAGCATTTTTTGGCCCTGAAGTTGGGGAATTCGGACTCGTTTGCGCAGTCAGAGCGAAGTGCTGCTCCAGCCCTATGCCCTGCTCCGTGGCCTGAGAGAAGGACAAGAACTGCAGGCCTTGGAACGACGTCTGGGACGACGTCCGGGACGACGTGGAAGCGGGGATTTGGACCATTTGGATCCATTCGGAGACTGTTTCATCCCAAATGGGCCCCAAAACAATCCACATTTGAGTCACATCACTAGACAATCCACACTGAGATTTGCGATGTTTATCTTCTGTCGTACCCATGTGCACGACCCCACATTAATTTGGAGGCGTTGTGGTGCTCTTAAGTCATGACACTGATTAGCAATTCTGGAGAATCCTAGGATATCCCCCATTAATCTCCCCATTTTGAACTGAAATAGTCGACCACCTTGGGAGACCGGTGATCCACAGTTGCAGGTCTATCGACGAGGTGGTAGGACCGCATGTTGCAATGTTTTGCTGGTTTCTGGTGGCCTCATAAGCAGAGCTGACCGCTGTGCATGCTGTGCGGACTCCGTGACAGAGCTGATCACCTGCGAGTGGATTTTCGCTGGCAGATTTCATCCTTGGAGCTTTCCAACGCCTTTGGCATGCACTTTGGAGCTCGAGTTGCGCCCCCAGTAAACCAACGCCGAGAGCGTCGGTTTCAGATGGTTTCAGATATTTCCATTCCTATTTTCAACATGTTCAACCATATTTGGGTTGATGACCCGCAATGACTATCATTTATCTGATTTTTTTTGGATGTGTTGAAATATGTTGAAACCCTCAGATAATCTAGAGTGCCCCGGGCGCTCTTTAGTTTTTTTTCAGGTCTGAAATCCATGAAGGGAGCTGCGTTATGGGCATCACCATGGGGTTTCTTGGCATCTATTCGCAGGTTTGTTGATGAAACAATGCCTTTTTCAGACTATTGACAGAAAATAACCTACGAATGTTGTTCTGTCAGCTCAGCACCTTGTTGCGGCAGTGACTCTTGAAGATGGACAGAATCTGCGAGATGAATTGTACATAATTGTACCTTTGGTATCCTTTGGCCTGATATCATCTGATATCATCTGATATCTTTTTGATCTGTTTCCAAGGTGCTCAGATGATGAATACATTTGGGTGAGCGAGTACTGCTTGGGTTGGTTCCGTCGGGGCAAGAGTCAGGGCGCTTGCTTGTCAGATGCTGGGCCCACGGTGCAGCGGAGCGCTTGGGCCTACGATGAGGCCGGAAGAATGTCAAAGCTAAGCTACCTGGGTTTGTCCCAAAAAATGGCAAATGACATGTAGTGACATGTGGTATTTCTATGTATGTGATGGGCATTTGCCCAACAATGGTTTCTTTTCCATCGACTGTTGGGGTGGTGGTGATACATTCGCGATTGAAGGGAGCGAATCTGGGTATTTTGCTCACCTTTTGGGCATTTTGTCGGCATGAACCAAGCTTGAAGCTGAAAGCCAGAGTTTTTGGTGACATGGGAAGCATATGGAAGCATCACTGGAAACATCACTGTTCGCCATCACTTAGCCATCCTGTTTTTGTTGTTTTGGGAAGCCATTTTTCTTTTCGTATTCCACGACAGATTCCGACAGATTCCGACAGTTTCCGTTCAGAAGCCCCGTGATTTCGCCAGGTGAAGTCTCGGCAACTTGTCGAGTGCCTCGCCCAAGAAAGCTTGGGAGTGAAAAGTGACCCAGAAAGCCACTTAAATGGTGCTTAAATGGTGCTTATATCTGTTGACTTTGTTATATTTTTTTGATGAATGTTTGTTGAATGTTTAAGTGGTGAAAATTCACCCTTAATAATTGTTAATATATATATATTTCTTAAGGTATATTTTGCCATGTATTGATGTATTGGAACAAACATGGTATCCATACCGAGCTGTCTCCCGGACTCCCAGGTGCTACCTGCCTGAGATCCCAGATCCAGAGGCTTAAAGTTCGGCCTCGTTCGGCATCCGATGTTCCGGAGATCATGATATGAATTATGAATGAATTAATATATATACATATATATATATATATATAACATGATTAATGACATATTATAATATGATTAATGAAGTATTGTTGTGATTCATACATACACACACATATATAATTATATATATAATGATATCAATGGATCATGAATAGATTATGAATAGATTAATATGACATTAATGGATCATATGAATATGAATGTGATTCATATATAGATTGTATATCTGATTGTATGGTAAGTTCATGAACAGTAGCATTTGGAACATCTGGGGGTTGAAAAGTATATATAGCCTGTGAGTCACAACTCCGATGCAGGCTGCAGAGCAGCTCAACGAGGCCCTGCAGTTCCTGCAGTTGTGGATTCACAGAAGATCAATGGGTCAAATACCCGGTAAACTCACATAGCTATGGAAAATGGTCATATATATATATGATATACCGATTAAACACGGTGATTTTCAATAGCTATGTTAAAATACCAGAGGGTCAACATGGTGATTATAGATGATAACATGGCGGTTTCAAGGGCCAGGATTTTCCATGGAAATCCCATGAGTATGCCATGGTGTCCTGGTGGATCCAGCATCCATGGACGCCAAAGGAAACAATGACGTTCTGTGAAGACTCCTTGATGCAGGTGCCGCGGCGACAGGGCTGGGTAAGTCCTGCATTTTTGCTGTATTTTTGCAGGAAGAAAGTGGCTACTGATGCTACTGTAGTCAAAGTAAACTTGCAATTAGTCGCCCTGCAGCCGTGCCGGCTGGACGGGGTGACAAATGTGAGGCACCACCAGATGTCATGTCACTGGGGCCGTGTTTTCACGTCACCAGATGAACATCCCCCAATGAAAATTCTAGTGTGTTTCTTGACTGCGATTGCCAAAATTCGCTGGGTGAATGTCAGTGTGCAGACCATCTAGTTTCCGTGAAACAGTGTTGCTGATGGTTGATGGCTGCCTAGACAAAACGTGCACAGTTTCAGCGAGGTGGCTGTCTTGCTTAATTAGTCATGATAGCACTGTAGAGCTACACAGAAAAGCATTGTCTTGAAGCGATTCCCAATGTTTCATTTCTGCGCAACAAACATGTTGGTCATAATAAAAAAGAGGATTGTTTGGCTAGGGTGGCTGTGAGGAACTTGCGTCCCAGTGTCATCATGCAAATCTCCCGCGCTGGTAGAGACACGCAGAAAAGTATAGAAAAGCGCTCTCTTGAAGCCAGTTCTGTTGCAACTTTTTTGATGCTGGTTGCTAGATTCTGCTAGATCAGATGGATCAGATGAGCACTTGATAAATGATGCCTGGAAGTCCTCAGGAACCTCTCCCGCTGTACTTCCAAGAAGGTGCTTGGCACTCCGCGGAGATGCTGTGTACTGTCCTCGGTCTGGAGATCTTGCGGGCTGCACAACCAACGACTTCGATGCACCAGACATATCCAGTGATCTTCACGTGTAAATCACATGTGCACTAACTGTGCTCTAATGATACATATACTTATCTAATGTATAATTGTATAACAATATGTATATGATACATATATATATGTATATAATTACAATATATATATATAATTATATATATAGAGTTATATATGTATATTATTATATATGTATATGATACCCAATGATACACAAAAAATATGCATGTTTTTCGTAATTCAACATCCAAAAAAGCGGTTCTGAGGTCAACATATGGTTCTGAGCGTTCGCCTGGCCTTTGATGCAGTGGTGGAGATCAACGGCTACAGCCAGATGCTGAAGGGTTCAGGCTATAGCTGGGCCGGTGTGAAACGTGGGGGAAGTCAAGGGGAAGACGTTATTTATCTGATTTATTTACCTGAATAGGAATGGATAATAATGGTTGATAATGGTTGATAATGGATTATAATGGATTATAATGGAAAATAATGGATACTAATAATGGATATTACATGATATAATGGTTAACAATGGCTAATAATGGCTAATAATGGAAAATAATGGATAATAATAATGGATATTACATAATATAATGGCTAATAATGGATTATAATGGATTATAATGGAAAATAATGGCTACTAATATTGGATATTATATGATATAATGGCTAATAATGGCTAATAATGGATGATAATGGAAAATAATGGATACTAATAATGGATATTACATAAGATAATATAACTCTGGTTGGTGGTTTGGAACATTTGGATTATTTTTCCATATATTGGGAATGTCATAATCCCAACTGACGAACTCATATTTTTCAGAGGGGTTGAAACCACCAACCAGTATTTTACTGTACCTATTTTTACCATATTCTTTACCTATCTTTACCTTTTCAAGGAGAAAAAGACAATCTCCCTCATATTAAAATATATAAAAACCAGCCCAAAGCATAAAGCATGGTGGATCGAGGGGATCAAATATTAGGGGGATGGGTGATTACTTTGCATTTTCAATCAGAAAATTTATTGGTTTTCATTGTTACGAATTTCGCACAGAAAGCTGAGTACAGCCAATTCTGATCCAATTCTGATGTTTCTCCACTGGTAGCTATAGCACCTTGGTACCATTTAGTACCTGGATCTCCCAGATATGTATATGTTTGTTATTGTTTGGTCCAATTTTCTGAATTGCCAGAGGTTTTTTCGTGTTTGGTCCAAAACACCCAGTGAATCCAAAAATGAATTCCGGCTGCTTTCGCGTTCGGCCAGGTTGGCCAACCAGAATCGCTCTCCGAGCTGGGCAATGCTATGCCTGGAATGTGGCCCCTCTGTGGGGGGTGGTAATGAGCCAAGTCCTTAGCAGCCTTAGCAGCCTTAGCAGCCTTAGCAGCCTTAGCACTGGTGTTTCATGGCCCATCAAGATTCTCCAAGCTATGAAAACTGGGAGGTTTTGATATATGGAAGACATCAACGCCGGAGGGTATGGAGAAACTGCAGGAAATGAGGAGCCGAAAAAAAGTGTGTCACAACCTTTAGTAACTTTAGTCAGCGCCAATCTCTGATGGTGCAGGACAGCGGAAGTCCGAAAATCAAAACCAGGGCCTCCAAGTGGTTTACCGTTGGCCTGGGTGATAGCAGACTTGCAAGTCCAGCCCTGAGTCACGACGCATTGGGTTCCTGAGAGATGGCTAAACAAAAATCGGCATGTCATCGATATTTTTTGGGTTCACGAAGATAATTACAGAATGTTATTATTGACATCATCATTGTTCAAATAGGATACACCATGGATATTTGTCATATATCATATATCACACACACATATGATATAATATATGTGTAATGCATATATAATATATATTCATTGGTTCATTAATAGATTGTCTTTTTGATTGGCCAGCTGAACCCGAGGTCCGAGCTGCATCCAACAACTCCGGCAGCTTCGGGATCTTGGGGCTGTACGATTACCTGGACCCGGCTTCGGCCTGGGGCAATGGCTCTCGATTTTGGCGGGCCGCAGGCGGAGATTTTGACCACACAACCACCTGAATGTGGCAAAGCCGGGTATAAACAAGACCCCATTTTTTAACAGCGTTCTAGTTTAACATGTTGTACATCTCTCTCTCTCTATATATATACACATATATATATAGCATATCTTGGTAGTTTTACCGACCATTTCGATAAAGGGGTCAACCTCCCACATGACTCCTTATGACTTCCTCCCCATGACTCCCCCCTGACCAGGAAACGTCACGGAGACCGGGGAAGGCCAGGGCGGCCAAAGTTCCAAAATGTTTCCGTCCATCAAATATCAGGTCGTGAAAAAAATCTGGTCCATTAATTACCATCAAATAGTATCAAATAGTTGGATTACCAAGATTTGAACTCATATTAAAATCTATTAAATCTATACGTTTCTATTTATATATATATAATATAATATATACACATATCATATATATATATATAGAAACATTAAACACATTACACATATCATTGGGCCCGGTGCCTACTAAAATCGGCCATGATCCATCAGGCGGATCCTTGGCGAACCCGGGCGGCTCGTTCCAAGACGTGGACGGTCTGGCCTCACTGCTGTTGGCCGTGCGCCTGGCGGCAGCCAAAGTGCTGTCAGAGGAGGTTCGGAGTAACGTTGGACCTGTGTGAAAAGAAACCAAGAAAAACATCTATTAACTATAGTATTTAACTATAGTATGAAAAACTAGTCCACTATAGTTTTTTAAACTATAGTATTTAACTATAGTTGAATATTGTTGAATTCTAGTGGAATCTGTTTGATATCTTGATTTGAGAATGATATGACAGGATATGATTCAATTTCGACACTGATTGAACTTGATTTGAAGGAAAAAAATAATTGCAGCATCCGTTCCGGAAGTTCAGAAGCTCGTGATGTTCAACCGCTCATGTCACTACAGCACCAACCGTATCTGGAGGTGCCTGAGCTGATGCTTCGTGCTGCCCGTGATGCGCTTGCCATGTCCAATGGGCCATTCAAAGACTATGCGTATCAGTTGCTGTTCTCCTTGACTGGTGAAACTGCAGAGATGGATGGTGCCTTTGCTCAAAGCCCTGCGAAAAAGTGGATGTTTGGCTTCTCTAAATTTCAACCAGCGCCGTTTCTAAAACTGAGTATACCCCCACAAATTGGATGGTGGATGGATGGTCAAGCTATGAAACATGACGAAAATCTGCAGTTTGCTGGGCCTAAAAAGATTGAACCATACCCACGCGCAAGCGCGTGACAGAGCGTGACCAGGTGATGAGCCTCCAGCCAGGGTGGTATTCACTGATGATGGTCCTAGACTACGCTTCAGACGCTTGAAGCACTTGCAACAGCGGAGTGTTGAAACTTGGGAAGAAAGCCACAATTGCAATGTTTAAAAAGCGAAAATGATGACACACTGAATTCAGAGGTAGCCAAGTTTTGGACAAATCAGCATTTCCTTGTCGAGATGTTGCAAGATTGTCCCCCAAAGACATTAGTTTCAAGTTTGAAGAATTTGGACATATTTGGACTGGCAGTTCTTGGATCATATTGGATCCCTAGCTCCTTACGGCAGCGGCTTGCCGTTGCCAATGGCGGCGCGGGCTGAGGTAACAGCCCTGTTGGGCGCTACCTCCACCATACAGCGACCTTCGCCAGCATCAACACGACGAAAAGCGCGAACCAATCGGATTTTTCCATAACTCCAATAACTATGGTTTATGGTAGATATAACTATAGTTAATGGGGCTTATAAACCAACTTATAATGGATTTTTCCGATTCAAAGGACTCAAGTTGTCTAAGCTGTGATTACACACTCTTACAGGGAAAGTGCATGTTAAGTCACTCATCGTTCTCATGGACCATGTTTGAGGACATGTTTGGCCCCAGTGACATGGCATTGTTCTCTCGCGCGTTCTCACGAGAGGCAATTGTTCTCAAGAGAGCAATCGTTCTCACTAGACATTTCTCTGTGGAAATTGCAAAACAGTTTTTCACCAAAAAATATCCCGGCAAGAGACCCCAAACAGTGGGTGTGTGTGTGGGAGGACATTGTATGATAATGTTGATGTTGTTGATGATGATGATGATGATGATGGTGACGATGACGATGACGACGACGACGAAGACGACGACGACGACGACGACGACGATGATGATGGTGACGATAAGATTGATGACGGTGATGTTGAGGATGATGATGTTGAGGATGATAATGTTTAGGATGATGAGGGGCAGGATGATGAGGGGCAGGATGATGATGTTGAGGATGGTAATGTTGAGGAGGATGAGGATGAGGATGATAACGCGGAAGATGAGGTGGAGGATGATGATGTTGAGGAGGAGGAAGATGATGATGTTGAGGAGGATGATGAAAAGGACGATCATGCTGCGGAAGAGGAGGGGGAGGAGGAGGAGGACCAATCCCAAGACCGCGACCACCGTTTTGTGAGAGCCTGCACAGTCGAAATGCACATGGACATGTCACAAGAGCCATTTTGTGCGAGAATTTTCAGGTAAAATGCCGTAGACCAGATGGATCCCATGACCGCGAACCACACTGTGCGCAACCCACAGGCACAAATAGACATGATTCTCCAGAATTCCAGCCGCTCTCCGTTGGCTAGATTTATTGAATTTCCAAATGAACTGTATATCTTATCCAACCCTGCCCATTCCGAACCTGTTTCGATTTCTGTTTTTTTTGATCAAACGTTGAGATCCAAAGTCTTATGGTGTCAGATGCTTTCAACAGTTTTACTCATTGGATATTGACCTTGCCCAAAGGAACTGCAGAGAAAATTAGGGCATTAATTGATGGATAGTTGATGGAGGATTGACAGATATTCATGGATAGTGGGTGCTGCATCCAAATCTTTGACCGTAGAAGTTCCCCAACGAATCAACCCATTGCAGGGTAAATTGGGAAAATCGAGGGTATGCAATGCTGAGCATAGACCAACATCGCCTGGCACAGCTCCAACACCCAAGAAAAAATGTTTGAGATTAGCTAGCATAAGTCCCAACAAGTTGAACCATCATTCATCATTTACCAGTTATATAAATTTATATCATAATATATATATATACATACATACGTAATTATAAATATATACCCTTTGGTAATTTAGCATAGCCATTGAACATGGCTCATTATCAGTTGATTTACCTATTCCAAATGATGATTTTCCATAGCTATCTTAGTTTACCAGAGGGTTACATATATATATATATGATAGTTATATAAAGTTAGATGACCAACATTCCAGCCTCCCGCACCAGAGAGAGACCTTCGGGACCACGAAAAGTGCTTAATAAACTTGAACTGGGTAACTGGGCAACAAATCCTTAGACCCTAACTTTGGAACTCTATGGATTTTTCCAATGAAACAAATTGAGAATCATTTTTTTTTTGCGCATCCTGAAGTTTCGCACATGGCTACCTGGTCAAATCGGAAATGACTCTGTACCTGGCAGTTGCTCAGCAGTTTGGCTCAGGTCTTTCCATGATCTGAGAATACCCATGAAGAACAAATCGAGATCCAAGGAGGCTGAAGTCGTGCAAATTTCAGAACGACATAGAACGACATAATTCTGGAAAACAATAGTTGGCCACATCTTGCAGGGCATCACGCAACAGCACCAAAGAAACGAACACCATGTTTTCAGCATAAGAAACAACCACTGGAATCACTGGAACTGGGGATGGACAAATTCTTGTGAGCAAACATAGCAAACATCTCAATTTTTTTTTTTTGTGACCACATGCAACTCTTTGCGCGGGGCGCCGGCATCCATGGGATCCCACTGCCTGAAGCTGGCGAATGCATCAATGATGTGGTCTTCGACTCGTATGGAACTAGGTGCTTTCTGTTGAGTTATATGATGTAACATGCATTTACAATAGTTATAGAATGTTATAGGTTTGTAATTACAGATAATTTATATTATAAAGTTTATATGGATAGTTTATAGATGCCCTTGCAGTATCAGACATGTTTGGTCGTTGATTGAAGCCTCATGTTTCGATTTTTTGCATCAACGCAGGAATCAGTCACTCGAAGTCACTTGCAGGCTGGCAGTGTGCACGAACAGCTGCATTTTGATCTATGGTGCGGCCTGCAGTTTGCTTCAAGCATGGCATTGCTGTTTGAATCAAGTGGGTCAACTTTGTTTCAAACATTCAATTTCCTCTCTCTTCATTTGCCAGGAACATGATGGATATGATGGATATGATGGATATAAGAAAAATATGTCCAATGCTAATCTTAGATTTGATCCATGCAGATATCCATCGAGGTGCACAGGAAGACTGGCCTCAGCTGGCTCGAATTGATGGGGCTTCTTGGTGACGATGTCACGATGTCAGTGCCGAGACGAGATGAGGGTGTACCATGAGCAAATAAATTATGACATGATTGATATGTACAGAACTGTAAATGAAGAAATATATCAGGAACAAAACAGATAGAACAGTAACGCTTTGCCACTCGTTTAGTTTCTATCTATTTAGGGGTTGTCATATTATATATATATGGCCCAGCACGAGACACGGGACCGTATATATAAATATATGTATATTTATATGTATATGTATATGTCTGGATTCCTGAATTGCTGGATGCTTCAGACCTGCAGCATGTCATGTTCATATTCATTTCCAGCCGGAAGGGATGATCATCCACGGTGGGCCAGCTGTGGCATATCTTGCAAGGCTCACTATGATGCCATTTGGCGGTTGAGCTGGAGCCTGGAAACCCAGGCCACTTTGGCAAAGTCCTTCACAGGCAAAGGGCCAAACATTGGAAAATATATGAACATATAAAGGACATCTACCCGAGAAACCAGCAAACACATACAAAAATAAGATGATGGCATATATAGCTGTGTTTCATCAGGAAAGCCAATGGCTGTGGATGGCTATGGTGTGAATGGAACTCCTGCGCGAAGGTCATTCACAAAGAGGTGATCTGCTTGTGAGCTGTTCGGAGGCAGAATTCATCAGAATTGCTGTTTGCTCGACTTGGCTATGGCTGAAAGAAGGGTGGAAACTTGGTATAACTTGGTCATGTATGTCATGTTTAGTCTGAAACCATACAATTGAGTATGTAATTTTGAGCCAAAACCAATTCAGCATAGTTGAACTGATTTAGATACCAAGTAACAAAATCGAACGCGACTCCATGATGGTTCCATTCAAACTTGGTGAATTTGACGGCCATTTCAAACGCCTCGACAGGATCGGCAAGTCATTGTTTGGACGGAACAGGCAGATCTGGGGGTCCGTCGTTCAGATTGGATGGGAAAACCTCGATGGGAAAACCACACAGTCCTTGCTGATTTATATGTCGTAAGAATGACTGACATTTTTCTCCATTCCATGATTCCATGTCCAGTTTGTATCAGTTTTTGGTGATCCATGACCTGACCATCCAAAATGACGAGAACATGTGGCTTGGCTCAGGGCTTTGCCTGGAAGAAATGCTTTCAGAAGACCTTGGGAGCTCCAGTGAGATCCTCAGAGCTCGCTGTTTATTTTTTGTATCCGAAAATCACAGGGATGATTTGGGGGTACCCTCTGGTTATGTCAAAATAGCTATTGAAAATGGCCATTTATAGTGAGTTTTCCCATTAAAAATGGTGATTTTCCATAGTTATGTTAAATTACCAGAGGGTACCCCCCATTTTAGGACACCTCCACTTGGCTAAAAACGATTCGCTTCAAGATGTGGCTCCATTTGTTCTGGGTCCTGGTTTTACCAGGCCACATGCCATTGAGCAACGCATCAATGTTTCGCAGATTGGCTTGTCATTTTGAGCACACATCAACCATCTAGCTTTGACCCATAGATTGTAGATGCTATGGGCCATCACTAATAACGGCAGTCAGATCAGTCAGCTCAGCGTTTCTGCAGACGGAGAGGTTTTAGACGTGAGATTTGCTTCGCCTGCTTTGGGCATCAAGTTTGCAGCGATCACTGCAGAATCACAGGCGATGGCGATTAGGTTCTTTTTGGGATCACCTGCTGGTGTGGCACTGTGTTTGCCCATGAATCATTAGGATTTTGGAAGGAACATATGGGATATACCGGATGAATCTCCAACAGCACATTTTACACCTATATGTATATTATACATACCTACACTATGTATATGTATATACACGGATCGCAAACTTTCTACATATTTGATAGGCATAAAGATATGCAGGAGCGTGTCCCAAGATCCACTATCAATCACATATTGTTTAGCACATGCCATATATATATATACACACGTAAACACGACGTATATATACGCATAATACATGTATGTAAATGTACGAATACATGTAAACACACAAATAAATAAATAAATAACTATATATATATAATGCACACAGTATATACACATCAATAGTGCATATCAATACAAATACATGATATCCCCAGCCAGTGTGTACAGGGCCCCAGCCAGTTGGTTGCCAGAAACTCATTAGGTGAGCGTCTTCGAATGCACCACTCACACGACTCTCCAATGTTGGGAGTCGCAGGTGGAAGACTTAGTGTTCCACAGATTCACAGATTACATTAGATCTACATATAATATAGCGTGCTGTACTACCTGGTATAATATGTACATAACACACACACATATATATATATATACATATACATATATATATATACATATATATAGATTTACATACACAAATGCAATGGATATTACACTATTTGTTAAACGAATGATGGAAGTGGAATTTTTCATCTGAGGATGTGATGATCCAGGGCAAGGCCGTGGCGTGATGAGTGGCCCAGAAAAATCAACGGTGACTCCAAACTTCTCTGTTTGCTTAAGGGATTTCACCATGATTTAATGGTGATTTAATGGGATTTAATGGGATTTACCTGGTAAACAAACAGTTTGCTATTGAAAATTGCCATAGAAACAGTGGATTTAACCAGCTATAAAATGGTGGATCTTTCCATAGTTATGTAAACGTTTACCAGAGGGTAAGAGGTTTGGTGAGGCTTGTGTTCAGCGAGCCTCAGGGGAAGCCTGGTGCTGTGGACTGGCAGCAGCCTTAGACAACTTGGCGCACAACGAAGCTGGAGACTTAAGCGGTCCTGTTCTTCAACTACCGTTTCTACAGCAAATCCTCCTTGTTTATGTTTTTTAATTTTTTGTTCAAGAGAAAATCTATGCTGCGAGGAAACCGGTGATGCCTCTTGCATCAAAGCAAGACCGGCTGGAGGTGCATCAAGCGCATCTCATTTCCCATCATTTCGCGAAAAACATCGAAATAGGGCTCTTTCAATAGGGGGGTACCCCCAATTCATGGCAATTTTCATGTTTTTTTGCATTTTGATGGGGAAAACAAGGATCAATCATGGAACAATCATTTGGAAAAAGGGGTTCCCAAGCCTTTTTCATGCAGGTCTTGGCCATTGGTCTTCATGATCGTCTTGTGATCGCCGTGGGGCCCCAATGCGATGAGTTGTGCAGTTGCGCAGCCAACAAGTTGCGAGTGACACGACTGTCTCAAACTCGAAGCAATTGTTGTGGTTCATACAGGTTCATACATCAACGATGGCATATGAGTATCAGAATTGCATAGCTGTGATTAAGCTGTATATGATTCATTGATATCAGTTGCACATAGTTGATATATCTATGGGAAATCCGCGATTTCTCTTCTTCCGTTTAGGCCAAGGGTGCACGGTGGGTGGAGCAAGCTTACCAGGAGATTGTTTTCAAAGTTTTTGTCTTCACTTTCTCGAGGCAGTTGGATGGCATGCAATCTGTGCGACTCAGCTTTGCGTTTCATGCGTTTCATGCCCCATAGGATGTATGGTATATATACTAACATTGGGGGTATATTGATGGTAAATGTTACCATATATACCATACATGGATCCTATGCATGCTATGATCCTTCTGGCTCTGCATCTTATTGATCTCATTGATCTCACGTGGCAAAGTATTTGGCACAGCCCGGCACAGCGGTCGAACGCGGCGCGTCCGCGAGGCCTGGTATGATTGTTGTGGGTTGAGGGTCAACTTGTGACAAGAAGACCGCTTGAAATCATGGAAGAAGTCTACATCTAGGAAGATTATATAGACATGATTGTTGTAGGCCTGTAGGCTGATTGCGGCAAATCAAACTAATTGCAGGGCCAACTCATTAGACCTTGGTCCTTCCGTCCATGATTTTCATGTTGGAGTCCTGTCGGAGCCCGTCTTGGTGAGGCCGATGTCGCCTCCACCAGAGGATGAGGTGCAGATTTTTGGACCCATGGCTTTGCCATTTGAGTTGCTACGCTGCTACTTGGGAGGCTTGCGAAGAAGATCAGGAGCATTTCCGTCGATTGCAACCTACTATTGGAGAGTTATCACGCTGACATCATAGCGATGTGCGTTATCCAAATTTTCCACTAGTCACTAGATATTCTTGATTGATCTGCAAGAAAAAATGCTGCCTTTCGGGTGGACTCAATCCTCCCCATCAAAAAAACCATGCGACGCGACGTGGGGTTCTGGCCTTGGGACAAGCGTTTGATCTATGTTGATCCAGCATCCGCTTTAAACTGTCCGACCTTCTGAGAGCAGATGTGGCTTTGTCCCAAAAAATGGAGGAGGGATTGAATACGCATCCAAAATTCAGATCTTTAGCAAAATCATTTTAGCCCTCAATTTTTCATCATTTTTCCAATCCCTGGAGCCATCATTTTCCAATCGCCAGAACTTGCAGGACTTGGACTCTGAAAACCTCTCAGAGGACTCGGAGCCTGGAGTTCTGTGGCCGCCCAGTTCAAATTCTGGCGGAGAAATGGGAGAAATGGATGGCAGACTGGGCCGCCCATCATGTTACATCCCTTTTATTTACATAATGTGAATATATATATATACATATAATTATATATATATTTCATATATCTATATATTATATATGTGATATCTATATATATATATATGTATATATGTGATATGCCGGGCGATAAAGGATCTCAAAAAGCCCACTGGCCCAGTTTACATGTATCCCAGTGACACTGCTGAAAGTTCTGTAGCAACTTAGGCCAGACCCGTTTGACACTGGCACAGATGCTGATGAGGCTGGACGAGTTACTCATATTCACATATACAATCCAAAAAGATAGAAAGTAAAATCCTACTAAAATTAGGGTAAATTACTTTTGCATTTTTTCCTCCGCAATTGCCATACATGTACCTGACATGTATACATACTTTTTGCACACGTCCCTTGCCATCCCTTGTCTTCATGGCGTTGCGAGATGCTTTCAGGCGCCGCGTGTAAAATCGCAGACGCCCAGTGCTAGAGCCTGAGAAATCAGCGATTTTCTGAAATGACTCTGGTGTCTCACTTTCACATTCCAGGTATTGCAGGTGCATGTATCATCCAACTTGTCATAAATCATATATTACTCCACAACCATTCACATGTGTTCCATAATATAGATCATCCAACTGGAGTGCCTTCGGCCCTTAAATTTTTCGGAAGCATCAGCAGGGCGGCGACTCAGCTGATGTCAAGGTACCTCATCAGCCGGTTGCAGCATTGTCATTGGGGCCTGCAGCTCAATGGTGCGAAAAAAAACCACTGGATTCACAGATTTTCCTAAAATAATCCTCAGATTAGCATACAGTACACATATGATCAAACATCTATAGGTATATATGTATATATATATATGTAATTATATGTCTATATATATATACATATGTAAGTATTGTATAAAACACTTTGCTGTTGGACATGGCCATTGTGTGGGTTTCTGTTTGAGTGAAGATTTTCAGGATTCAGAGACGCAACTCTCCGTGGCCGCCTTCAGAAAATGTGTGCGAATCTCAGAGCAATGACACTGCTAAATGGGCAAGTTCAACCACCATTGAAGCTATGTCAAGTTGTGAAGAATTGGATGTTTTATGCTTTTTATGATACCCCCTGGTAATTTGTTACAGTTCGCTATTGAACATAGCCCAGTCGAAATAGTGGATTTATGTGGATTTACCCTAATTTTACCCATTGATAGCATGTTGGATCTTTCCAGTTCGTTATGTGACAGTTTACCAGAGGGTAATGACTTATATACATATACATGTATATATATATACATATGATACTGGATATATTTTGGCAGATCTCCACAACTTCACCCTTAAGCGTCACACCGTCACATGGCCAAGGTGCAGAAACCGGGAACTGCCACCGTTCGCACCCGAATCCGCACCGCGATCCGCACGAGCCTCGCCTCGGGGAGCAAAGCGCAAAGGATGCAAAGGCCGGTTAACCCAGTGATTTCTTGACAATGGATTAACCATTGGAAAACCATGGAAAACCATTAACCACCATTATGCTGGTGAACCAGTGATTTCCAATGGTTAGTTTGTTAGTTTAATAATGGATTGATGGATTAAAGCAACAGAGACCATACCATAACCATTGGAAAAGTGCTGGTTCATGAATGGTTAGCTTGTGGTTATAGTTATATAAAATCAACCCTGGATTAATAAACCCTGTTTACGGCTGTTTCATTGGGGGGGGTACCGTTTTTTTTTGTATTGGATTATTGGATGAAATGAGTATTGGAGGAGTACCACCCTAATTAATAACCATGGTTTATTAATCCGGGGTTGACATTAGCAGTGATTCCAAAAGGCCGTGATACCAGTGATATCTCAAGCATCTGATGTGACATCTGCAGGTGCTGAGGGCCAAGACCAACAGCCCTCGTTGAAGTCAGGGGCTTGGAGTTGAGTCCATATCTGATTTAATTTATGGCAACGCGGCTTTTGCTCATGTACAGCATGCGGCTATGAGCATGTCCTGCAGTCTTTTGTTTGACATATATTTGACTGATACAAACACATGTTCGTTTCGGTTGGCTTTGCTGACGACTGCATGTTGTCTGCATGTTGTCTCAGTTGACCTGCAAGGAGTCGGAAAAAGTCTGGCCATATGGATGTGTCAAGCTGGCGACTTTTCGCTCCATGTTCAAGAGATAGTTTTTCAACGTGTTTCAACGAGGGTTTGTCCAAAAATTGGACCCCAATTCCAATGGTTTATCATTCTATTTTGTGGGAAGCTGCTTTTTGGCTGTCCAGCTGAGAAGACTCTGCGCACTTTCTCCTGTTCTGAGCCAGGGAGTCCCCTAGCTTTCAAAGAATGTCGTCAGTGGACCGATTTTTTGACGACATGTTTCGCACGACATGTTGTGATGCATGGATTCTTCAGAACGTACCGATCCATACAGTTTTTTTTTAGACATGTGGAGACCACACGACTGCAGGAAATGAATCACTATGTCCGATTGTGGCGCAAGATGCACGCCAACTCCTAAGTTCGGAGTGTTGCTCTGGTGTTTTGGCGGAATCGCAAAGTCTTTTGAGCAACAGAAACGCTTCTAGGTTTCGTTTTTGTGTATAGCTTATGAAAGTGGCCGCGTATTCTACACCTTCCTGTCAGGTGCGTGAGAGACCCTGAGGATAATACTCCCTCATGCAACCAGCTGTCAGCTAAAGAGCCAGCAAAAAGGTATCACTGCAGCGACGCTTTGCAGACTTGCTGCATCTTGTCGAAAAGCAAGTATCACGTCATATCTACAAGCCTCATCTAGGCAATCGGGCAGAACAACTGAGAGTTTTCGCCAAATGTTCCTAGAATTTTTGTTGTCCCAGGAGCTGAAGAATGACAGCGCTATCCAGGACTCAACGCAACTCTACACTCTACAGCTACCTAGATGTTGCACTCCCCAACAGCATTAAAAGTGTTGGAGGATGTGGCGTGGTGCCCGAAGACTTGCAGAAGTTACGAGGTGCATGTTGACATGTTGGCTTCTCAAGCTGTAATAATCTGTAATAATCTGTAATATTCTGTAATGATACCCTCTGGTAAACTAACATAACTATGGAAAATCACCATTTTTCATGGGAAAATCCACTATAAATGGCCATTTTCAATAGTTATGTTAAATTACCAGAGGGTAACGTTTACGTTATTTTCAGTTTTTGTCGCTGGTGCAAAAAATGTTTCGTTGTTGATGCACCAGCATGGACGTCGACAGATGGTGGCCACCTGTGGGTTGGGAGTGCAGCTTTGGCGACTTGATCAGAGCAAGGACATGGGTTGAACTCTTCATCTCTGAAGCATGGAAAAACCTGGATGTGGATGTTTCTGAAAACTAAG